TAGCATACACCAGCACAAGGAAATAAAAACTTCATCATTGAGGTTTTAGCCTTGATGTAGACTTTACTACTAAATACTGTGAATGACTGCTATTTTGAACATAGAATCGCTGATCATCGTAGAGTCACAGCTGTGACAGCTTTTTTACTGGGTAGTCGATCAGCTCGCAGTCCCAGCTTCGGACGTATGTCGCAGCAGCCGCTTTTCCCCATGCCGCATCCCCCCTTCGACCGCACATAATGTTCCTTCAGCTTCCTGGTACTTCTGTGAAAATGTGATGGCGAGGAGATAATGACTGAATCACGCAAAACATAACCGACCTTCCCTATCTCACGAATCTCAGCAATGCAAAACGTGGTTAGGAATCAAACTTAATTCCTCATGCCCAAAACTACCGTTTTGCAAATATTTTTTCATTTTGACCACTGTGTACTCACAAAAGAAGTAAAACATTTATCTCATCCTATCAGCAACCATTTAAGCGAATATGCTTGAAACTTATACTCAGGGTTATAACTTAAAAATATGAAAACACCATCAACTTTATCACAGAATAAAAGAAACCTGCAAACTTTTAGTCTTAGATCGAAAAATTAACTAATAACGCAGTCAAGAACTTATCCTTATTCAATTAATTCTGCCTTAAATGAAACGTATGATTGGGTTTTATTATGAGAAATATGAGACTGACGATTAAGCCCTTACTTTAATGCCAGCAGTCGGCTGCCGATCCGATGCCTATTCGAACACTTTAAACGCTGGCAATAAAACCGAAGTTTAGTCATTTGTTACCTGTTTCGCATATAACTGCTGAACTTAAGCTTCTCCAATTTAATAATCAAGAGGAAAATAAATACTGCTATCTATAACAATAACGGAACAAGAGTTTAGAGCATGCCGATTCTCGACGATGACCGAACAAAAGACCGGAAGGAAGCTGAAGGTACCTACCTTGAAACAGTATCTGAAGAAGAGCTGCAACGAGTATACTGTTGAGCGACGCTATCACCCGAACCTGACAGCGAAGGCGATGATGTGGTTGCACTGCTGCATGACGCGGTAGACGATGCTGAATTAGACGAAGAACCCCTGCTACAAGAACGCCTTCTCTTGGAACGACTGTAACTGTCTACAACAGTAAGAATTATCAGACGGCATCTAGAAGCTCGCTGGCCACTAAATGGATGGATATTTATCGAAATAAAATCTCGCTTCAAAATATTGATATTTAAAGAAAATTTAAATTCACAATCATATCTTAATTAAATTTGGCCATAAAAATGAATATTTTAGCATAATTATTCTGGCGCTTCAGTGGTTCCGACTAAAAGTCGAGCCAAACGTTCAAACATGTCACGCCAGTGACTGAATCAAAACTTCCCGTGTGGACTCCCGCAGTGCAGCAATGCGCCAGGCTACTATCACAAACAAACCCAGACTCGAGTTACAGAGTACAGAAATAAAAACAGCGACACACACGAACCTGAACGCAACGGCGAAACTTTGCTGCGTTTGCGAGACCTCGTGAACGATGGAGAACGACGCCATGGATCGCGCCATTCTGACCCGGTATGATATGAAGGGCGGTCGTAGGGCAGAGGTCGATCTTTGCTGTCTTTCGGCGAGTACGATTCATCGCGTAGACTACGCCTGCGGGAACGACGTGACACTGAGTGACGAGACCTCGACCGACGACGAGCGGTGTTATTTTCCTTTGGTGGATGTCTCGGGGACCGACGATTAGGCCGAAAGCCGATATGTTCTGGAGTGCGGCTAGTTCTTCCACCTCCAAAGCTACCGTCAATGGCGCGAGATTTCTGCAATAAAATAAAATAAGGGCAAAATCGAATAACTCTGTAATAGTTATGAAAATAGAGCGTACCGCTGACTGAAGGCACAGCGGAAAACAGGTTTGCGTAAAGCAAATGACTAAGTACAAGTCTGGATTTCCTGGAACTTTTAACACCCAGATAGTTGTGGTAACTTAGTGTACTCTCGAAAGTCCCACTTCTCGCCATGTCAGAGAAAGTAAACACGGACACAAGTTAGCAAAGGGATAAAACGGTAACTACAGTTAAGGCAATTCTGTTCTGTTGCTATTCGGAACCGCAAAAGCCCGACAGATCTACAGGTAAGGCGCTGGTAAAAAGATGTAATATGGTGAATGTTATTTCACTCTAAACTCCAAGATTTCAGCAGCACAACTTGAAATTTTGTGTTTGCTCGTATCATCACTTCGAGCCGTTAGCACAGACACAACGTTTCTGGCTTGTGATGTCAGCTGTATTCGCAGTTTTTCAACTCTTCTGCTATAAAACACCAGCAATTGCATCATAGAACAAAATACGCCGGTCTGAAAGCAGACCGGCCTCTATGTTAATTCTTATTTTACATGCCGCATAACCGAACATTAGTGTTTCCAAGGAGTTTCAAAGGACCTAATACACGATTAAATGAAACGAACAAGAGGAAGAGAATTCAGACCTATTCTAGTCTATCGATGACAATATAACAATTTGTCGAAAAGAGAACATAAGCTCAGGGTTCTTCATGCATTTAATTACAGGAAGAGAAAAAAGAGACAGCAGGCACATACGTATCGATCCGGGCTAAACGATGAACGTTCAGGCTTGTTCACATGTCTACCGTTGCTTCTACCCGAGAAGATGTCATCGTCGTACGGTTCAGGAGGGAATCTTGAAACGAAGCTTGATTCATAACGAGTTTC